AGTTAAAAATCACTCCATAACTGAAGCAGATGAAGTGTATAACAAATCAAAACCTTGTTCAGTCACATTTTCCAAGGTATCTCACTTGCTTGACATTTAAATCCTACTACAAAATGCATAAAAATATAACTTATTTACAAAATATATCATTTAGGATTTTCAAAGGTCATTTTAAAAATTATTCTATGAATTGGTATACAAATTTATTGAATTATATACAGTAATTAAATTATTAGCACAACACTTTTGATGAAATTATTATTATTAATGTGGACAATAATGATTTTAATGACCATTATCGCCTTTATTGCACACAGGGGTTGTAAGGAAAATATGTAATATGTATAATATTTTCTCATGAAAAAATATAGCTGACTTTATATGTTAGATAGGGGTTCTAATGGACCAACGGATGACCAATTATTCTCACAGTCTAGTTAAATCAATAATGTAATAGCATTAAAAAGAAATCTTTATATGAGGGCAAATTATATCTTTCTCCAAAGAAGTACAGTACATTTATCCTTATTAAAATAACTATGTCATTTCAGGTATGTGTCATACCTGTGTCTCTAGAGTAAAACATGAAATCCTGAGTGGAAAAGCACTGGACTTTTTCAAGTACAAATTGATTAGGTAGAATCTATATGTCTCTCTCACCTAATTAAGGCCCTGTTGAGTTAAAAGAGAGACAGGCCTCCTTTATAAATAAGAGCTGTTTTAATAAATGAAGTTTTTGGCTGAATGTTTCTGCTGTTTTCTATGCAAAATAACTGCCTACGTTCAGATGCTATCAGCATGTGCTGAAAACTGAATTAAAAAGAAGAAACTCTTCATATTTGTCTGTTCTAACAATTAATGAAACCGAAGATTCATCACAGACTGCCACTGTGATGTGCAATAATATTGCAAAAATTAATTCAAATGTAATTCAGCACATCTGCAATAGACAGGACTGGTTTTTTTTCTACGAGTGACTGAAAGTCTCGTCTCAGACATGCACAAATAATGGCTTTTGTGATGGTTTATGCCTCATATAACGTGTGAGAGATCACAGTTTATTGATCCGTGTCAAATCATTTTAATCGAGATAAGATGGAGGGCCAACGTGTGAAAACTGTGAAGCTTCGCAACGCTTTTCAGTTGCAAACAAAGAATGCAATCAAAATGCACTTACTGAACTTTTAATGGAGTTTAGACATGAAGTATAGATGGAACATGACATGATGACAATCTCCTGTCAGTTAGTCTCCAAGAACAATAAGACGTTAATTTAGGAAGTCACTTGTAATGCAGTAATGCAGTACTTGCGAAATATCTAACATCTGTAAATATAAGCATTTTCCCTTTAGCATTGTTCATAATAAGACCGGAAACATAAATACATAGAAGATAAATAGAGTTGGTGTTGAATTCACGTTGACTTAAATTTAGGATTGTAAATATAAAGCATTTATTCAGTAAATTAAATTAATGTACAAATATATTAAATAATAAAATTGTGTTTTCAGCACAATCATTTTTTAACAAAACCACCAATTATTTTATACTCTCACTATACAGTAGTGTTTTACATTGTCTGTTTTACAGTAATCTAAAAATAGCAGCTGTAAAAATCATGTGAGCAGCAGAAGGTTCAGCCTCATCCTAGCAGGACGAGAATATAGAGATTTACTGAAAGCAGCTCTTAGAGATTTTTGTGTTGGTTAACTTGAACTGTAAACGCAACCACCTGCCACTGACAGTGTGTTGACCTGTGAGTAGAAACACTAACACAGTTAGCATAGTTAAAAATGGATGCAGTTTTATATCAAGCTATGTGTTGTAAGAGCCCTGGATGGGTCACTCAGGATGAATCAATAATGTAACAGAAGTAGAAATACAAAAAAAAAAAAAACAACATCTGGATAGGAGACCAAAGCTTTACCTCAGGACATTTTCATCACAATTATTCTTGCTTCCTTATTATTGGCTGTGCAATCTTGCAGGTGCCTCTGCTTGCAGAGAACCTTAATAAAAGATGATTATCTGTACACAGAGGTTGTTATCATGATTCCCAAGTATGGACATTATATGAAAGTCATTACCACCAAGTGGCCAAGTATAAGCCCACTATACTGTATATACACCCCATATGGACCAATATACCTGGTGGTGAACAAGCTTATCACCATCTCAAAATAGCCTCTTAATTTCAGACTGCAGCAAACTGAACTGAAAAGAATAAAACTCTGTTTTGCAGTTTTAACAACTATTGCAACTGAACATGCATCATGTTGCAAAATTAATTCAAATGAAATTCAGGACATCTGCAAGACAGATAGAACTGTTTTCTTCTCTCTGAGTGAATGAAAATCTCAGACAAGCACAAATAATGACTTTTGTGATGGTTTATTCTTCATATAACGTGAGAGAGTATAGCTTATTATATTACCAGATGTAGTCGCTTGTATGGTGAACAAGACGGCTCCATGCTCATCTAGCATACAGCATAATTAGAAAAACATTTACCACAGAAAATTATTTTGTTTCATCCATTTGGCAAAAAAAAGGAAACGTACAGTAATGAACTTACAATGGAAGTCTACTGTGGGAACGCATCAGAGGATTTACAAACAGAAACTGAAGCTTGTGTGTTTGTGGGGGGGAAAAAACTGTTGAAATAGTCCCTTTAAAGATGGACCTATTTTTTCTAGGTGAATGAACTTGTGGTTATGTGCTACTGACACTGATTAGCCTATTATTTACTCACCCTCAAGCCATCCTAGGTGTATATGACTTTCTTCTCTCAGACAAATCCAATCGGAGTTGTATTAAAAATTGTCCTGACTCTTCTAAGCTCTATCATCGCAGTGGGTGGGTGTTTCTGTTCAACAGTCCACAACACGTTAAAGGGGTCATATGATGTAGTTTCAAGTTTTCCTTTCTCTTTGGAGTGTTTTAAGCTGTTCGTGAATAGATAAGATCCCTAAAGTTGCAAAGACTAAAGTCTCAAACCCAAAGAGATATTCATTATAAAAGTTAAGACTCGCCCTCCTTAAACGGCTCGTTCTAACACGCCCCCAACATGTCTACATCACTGTGTGGGAAGATTTGCATAACGCCGCCCGAATGTTTACGCAAAGAAAGAAGGTGTAACTTTGATTCTCGCTGTAGTATTGTTGCCGCCGCCGCCATGTCGTGGAGATGCTGTGTTTCGTTATAAAAGCGAAACTACTTTGTTTGGCCTTCCAAAAGATGCAGCGCATTTTATGGAGGACGAGGACTGTTTCCTGGGAGAGTAGCCTACAATGATGGCTGTGCACAAAGGCTGTTTCAATAAAGTGGGGCAGTTCCAACTTTGCAAGGACAGTATGGCTCTTCTTACTCGCAGCCTGTAAGTATGTTTTCATATATAAAGAATTTGCCACTGACTGTGGAAAATAATGCCGCATAAACACTTTGCATTACACCAAATACACAAAATAATGTTCTTTTTAGCAACATCATATGACCCCCTTTAAATAAAGTGCGCGCATTTGTAATAAAACGTGCCTCACACGGCTCCGGGGCATGAATAAAGGCCTCCTGTAGCGAATCCATGCGTTTTTGTAAGAAAAATATCCATATTTCAAACGTTATAAACACTTTTCTATCACTCCCGCCATCTGTCATACGTGGAAGCAGTTCCGGCGGATGACGTAGGACATCAGCGTAGCGTGTTTAGTGACGAACGCAGAGAGAGAACAAAATAAAGTCATGAATTAGAAGCACAAAACGAGGATTTGTAAAGAAAAATATTGGAGCCAAGAGGAGACTGGTTTTCCTTTGCTAAAGTAAAGAAACTTTGCTTCCTTTGCTCCTGTAAACAAACTCATGAGACTAGCGAGCCCGGTCTCATGAAAATGCTTATAAATAGTACGCCAAATAAATCACATTACACAAAACTGAAATTGCACGTCAAAATAACACATTGTCAATATTTTTTGAGACCCCCCAAAATTTCACAAATCCCGTTTTCAGGGGAGCCCATGTCTTATTAAGGGGAGCCGAGCTCCCCCTAGCTCCCCCGTAGTTTGCACCCTGCCTAAACCTACCCATCGCGTAGCATATACACGCCAAAGTCCATTTTTGCGTATCAATACCACGAGTTTTCGTTTTTATTTGGCTATTTATATTAATATACTATTTATATGTACTTTCATGAGATCGGGTTGGACTAGCATATCTCACAGGCGCATATGTCTTTCGTCATCCACCTGAACACTTCCGCATACGACGATAAAAGTGTTTATTACGTTAGAAATATGGATATTTTTCTTACATAAACACATGGAATTGCTACAGGAGGACTTTATTCATGCCCCGGAGCCATGTGAGACACGTTTTATTATGGATGTGCACGCTTTATTTAACGTGTTTTGGACTGTTAAAGAGAAACACCCGCCCATTGCAATAATAACGCTTGGAATAGCCAGGAGAATTTTTTAATATAACTCCGACTGGATTTGTCTGAAAGAAGAAAGTCATATACACCTAGGATGGCTCGAGGGTGAGTAAAACACAGGCTAATTTTCATTTTTGGGTGAACTAACCCTTTGAGGATTTGTAAGCTGTTCCCCTCAGCTTTTATATAAGAAAACGTCCTCTTTTTTCTCTGCCTTTTCCCTTAACATCTACCGCTGAAACCTCCTTTAGAGGTAACTATAAATTTTCATCCTCCCTCCTGTGAGACAACTGTTTCAACCTTCCTTGCGCTGCAGCATGATTTCGGTTCTCCGTCCTCCCTGAGGAATAAAGCATATTACCGCTTGTCATCATTTCTGGTTAGGGCATCTCATGCAAGATGACACCCAATCATTTTGGGGATTCGAGCATGTTTGCTTGAGCGCATGTACAGCGTGACCCATGGCAGCATGTTAGAAACATGCAATACTCTTAAGTGATTATGTAAAAATATTAGTGTGAAAATCACAGTAACCGTTTCTCCTGTCCTTTCCACTCTTGCGGTCACAAGAAGAAATCAGTGGCGGTCGAAAAAACATGGGTTGACACTGACAGGTGTGACTCAACATGTCTCAGGTGAGTTTTACCTCTCTCCAGGCCTCCATATTGCGCGGCCAAGCTGGTCAGGAGAGCAGAAAAAGCGTCATATGCCACTAAGACTCAAGGAGAGTAGTCACAAGAACACTAGAGACCTGAGGCTAGTTCCTGGGCCACTGGGAAAACCTGCTTTTTGAACCTGAACTACATCTGTGTCCGTTCTCATTTCTAAATTCTAGAAGACAGCCAGACCGTGTGTGTCTCATTTGCAATTTTAATGCGAATCTGTCCCTTCCCATCTCTATATGCAGAATTCCCCCGTTCAACATATATGAGGCCATTTTTCTTGCACAAAGGACAGAGTTACTACTGCTGAGAGGATAGACTTCCTTCACTCACGCTGGAGTTTAATTATTAATGTCACTCGCTTGAATAATTGATATCACAATTTATTAATCTCAACAGGAGCACCAGACCTAAAGTGACCAAGTAAAATAGAGATAATGTGGGCATGTATGTGGCTTTGACAATTTAACAAGGATAGTACAAGGAGACTAAATTTATTACATTTACTGAAGGGCTGAATACTGTTTAGAATTTTGTACTTTTTTATAAACACTTTATAGTTCCAAAGAATAAATGTGCAGACACATTAGCGAAAGGCAAGTAGGTACATTACCATAAAAATAAACAGTGAAGTGAAACATAAAAACACAATTTGCATCAACTGGCCCTAAAAATGTTGATCTGTGTGTGTGTGTGTGTGTGTGTGTGTGTGTGTGTGTGTACATACGGTGCTAGGTAGATTACTTACAATTTGTAGTACTTTACTGATTACAAATAAAAACATGATGAAAATTGTAATTTGTAAAAGATGATCCAGCAGTTAGTATTGTATAGTACAGCATTCAATACATTTAGTGTATTGAAGCAAAGACATGCTACTTCTATTTTTTTATGTATGCTCTTTAATAATGCAACAAATCCGACACTTGATTTTTGAAGTGCCATGCATTCACATTAGCACGTTACACGAACATTACCCAGTCACATTAGCATGAACATCATGAAAAAAGCCAAAGCCACTAGAAGGCAAGCCACGTAACGGCTAAAGCTAACACTTCCAGTCTGGCAGTACCTGGAAAAGGAGAACAGAGGCCGTTTTTTTTTTTTTTTTTTTTAATGGATGTCAATGGAGGAGAGGCTTCACTACGCTGAATAAACAGCTTTTTAGAGGAAACGGCTTATCATTTAATGAATCGACAGCCTATCTGCTAATCTCCAACATGTTTTACACTAAACAATACTTTTGGATTTAACTATTTTTAGAGTTTACCGTGGAAAAAAATGCTGTTTTATAAGAGAAGTCACTGACTTTTTGCGACAGATGGGATTCAGCTTACGGCACTTTCTCATTCATAATTATGGTATCCGTAAACGGCGACTGAGTGTTGCACAAACTCTGACTGAAATTCAATGACGTCAAGGCTGTAATGTGATTGGTTATTAAGGGACACGTGATCCAAGTTAGCGTTACGCTTTCTCCAATAGCAAGTAATGCAGACCCTCTCATCTCCCTATAGTAAGACAATCTCTGGAAAAGCCAAGTGCTACTTCCTGTTGTCTTCATCCTAAAACTAGAACGATGTTTCATCACTGTCACTTCACCCTGAGATGAAACTACAATATGCCCATAAATAAGAGTCAGGTCTAATGTCTCAGTAAGATGGATAACTAGCTTGAGCTCACTCATGGACAACTTAATGGGGTATTTGTGGGTTGTGAGTGAGGGTGATTTTTCTTTACCATTGGAGAAATAATGGTGATTTATTTAATGAGATAATACCGAGGCCATTAGAGGAACCTTCACTCTCTGTTTATGATTGCTGATTTCTTTTTCTCACACTCCCAGAGCTCTCAATTACCCTAACAGACAAATACTGTATGTTTATCGGCATTATCTATTGCTAGATTAAAGTAAATAGATTTTAGGGAATGTTTATAGATGGATTTATACATTACATTTTTGCATATTTTGAGTGCAATGATGAATCATGTCCAGTAAGAACAGATATGTGTTGATTTATTTAATTTAATGTTGATTTTAAAATCAGGCATAAACACTTGTGATCTTATCAGCCTGAAATGTCTCAATTTGTCAATCATCTGCATCTTTTCCCTCAACTCCAGCTAATTTCTCTTACTATTAAAGGTCTTTCCTCGCTGCTGAATGGCTTTAATCACTAGAGCTTTGGACTGTGATTGTCCAGTGGATAGACAGTCCAGACTCCTATTCTTCTGTCAAGAGCCTTCTTGTTGGAAACACCTCAAGATTTTGACAATATAGTAAATGGTCCTTTAAGAAGACCTCACTTTGAAGACAAATGAGGATAAAGCACTAGCAAGGTAGTTTCACTTGCATTATTGAAATGATGCACTGAATCAAAGGTCAAAGCATTTGTCAAGAGTACTTGAACACTGAGTTCCTGTTTAGGAGCTGTCCTTCACTGCTGGCTTCTGTAAAATTCATTTAAGAGCGTAAAAAGGCCCTTAAAAAGATTCTTAAAGGGCCATGGTGGCATTTTTATTAAAGGGGTCATATGATGTTGCTAAAAAGAACATTATTTTGTGTATTTGGTGTAATGCAATGTGTTTACGTGGTTTAAGGTTCAAAAAACACATTATTTTCCACATACTGTACATTATTGTTTCTCCTCTATGCTCCTCTATTCTGAAACGTGTCGATTTTTACAAAGCTCATCGGTCTGAAAAGCGAGGTGTGCTCTGATTGGCCAGCTATCCAGTGCGTTGTGATTGGCCGAATACCTCAAGCGTGTGGCAGAAATGTTACGCCCCTTAACATACTGTGATGCCGTGTCCGGCCGGAGCGACGAAACAAAACCAATAAAACCCATTATAAACGAGGCATTTGTTGCATCCAGTGGGGACATAATTACTGATTATAATGACTTATACTGTCTTTTTACGCGTTGTGTTGCGTATTGCGCCGATTAAACATAAAACCATGTCTGCATTTGTGATCGGAAAAACGACAAACAACAAGCGCTACTCTACACTGCTCAAACTCGCGTTTGAATCATCAGTGGCAAATCCTTTAAATATAAAAAATGTACTTACAGGCTGTGAGTCAGAAGCGCCAGACTGTCCTTGCAAATTTGGAACTGCTCCACTTTATAGAAAAGCCTTTAAGCACAGACCCATTGTAGGCTACTCTGCAGGTTCAGGAAACAGTCCTCCATAAAATGCGTCACACAGCGTCACACACGGCGGGCTTGAGTGAGGAATGGTTATGCAAATCTTCCCACACAGTGACATAGACATGTGGGGGCGTGTTTAAACGAACCGTTTTAGGTAGACGTGGTTGACTCTTAACTTTTATAAAGAATATCTCTTTGGATTTGAGACTTTAGTCTTTGCAACTTTACAGATCTTCTTTATGCACCAAGAGCTTGTAACACTCCAAAGAGAAAGGAAAAATTGAAATCGCATCATATGACCCCTTTATATTATGCAACATAAATTATATGCTCTTAAAATCAGCATAAAATCAAAATTGAGTTGCTTAGAACTGAAATTGTTGTGCTACTAATGTCACTAAATAGAATTACAAATAAATAAATGTTTTTGAAACACTACACCTGTCTGTCATTGTTTGGAGTAATAGATATCCCTGGTTCACACTATGCTACATTATGAAAAAAAGAGGCCTGAAGGTACCTTTATGCTAAGAAATATAGTCGTATACAATGTCATTCAGAGGGCATGTGTATCCAGGTACATGTCCTAATTAAATACTGGATCCGTTTTAAATCAATAGCCAATCAGACTGTGAAGACTGGGTAATCTCATCACGAATGGCAGCTACACAATCTTCATTTAATAAAACCAGAGCAGAGCAACCTGACGGATCACACGGCTTTATTCTCAATAACAAGAGAAGCACTAAGCACCTCCTGTCTGTCCAAACAGAAAAATCCTTTCCAGCCATCCTCGAATGTGCAATCACTTCTCATCAGCTTTTTTTTTTTTTCAAATGGAACAAGCGTCATACGAGACTAGGTTTGTTTATATTCCTTAAAAACCCTCAAGTGCTTGTTGAAAGAATATGAGCCTCTGGTATGTACATGTGTATAGATTAAAGTGTCTACTAAGCGATAGCAGACGTAATGTGCTGGGAAAAAATCACGAAAAATGTGTCTGTGTGACATTTCCCTAGAGTATCAAAAGCATTCTTTTAAAAAAAAAAAAAAGGTCAGAATGAAGAGACAGAGGAGCGCTGTATCACGTTATATCTGAGTTTTGTGCTATACATCTCAAACTTTACTGTATCTTAAAAGTAAAGGATTCATTGGCATTGATGGACCTTTAACAACTATAGAACCTTTTCATTGCACAAAAGGTTCCTTAAAGTGGAAAAAGGTTCTTCAGATTATTAAAATGTTCTTCATGTGAAGAAAACAAATGTTTTTTTTAAGAACTGTTTACTGAAAGGTTTTTCAAGGAACAAAAATGCTTTTCTATGGTGTGAAACTACCCTTCACTCTTACAAATAAAAGTTCCACAAGGGGGTTTTCTTCGAGATGCAATAGAAGAACCATTTTGGGTTCCCCAAAACAGTGCTTAAAATAACCATTTTTGTTATTGTGAGGATTATTTTAATAATCTGAACAACCTTTTCCCACTTTAAAGAACCTTTTGCGCAATGGAAAGGTTCCATGGATGTTAAAGATTCTTAATGGAACCACAGATGCCGAAAATAATCTTTATTTTTAAAAGTGTTGTGCAACAAACACATATTTTTTTTGATACAATTTAAATTAATATATAATTAGACATGAATTTATTGTCTAATCAGTTTCACTAATAAATGATTTCACAGCTGTAGCTCCTTACTAATTGACTAAACTGATGAACTCCCTTCACCAGAATGGATGGGCATCTTTAAATAAGACAGATAATAAGATAATTTGATTTATTCATTTATTTTATATACTGTAGGCCTATATATTTTAAATAAGCAACTTGAGCTTCCAGCCCAAAAGATAAAGCATCAAGTTCAAAACCCCAAGGCACCGCCTGCAAAAGGTATTTACTCCAGACATGTTGTAAATCATATTCCCCGTTGATTTTGTTGTCATATAGAAAAACAGCCCTTGTGTGCAGTTAGAAAGCAACACCTTTTAAATCTGAACTAAATATTAATGCCACTCTGACATATAGATCAATGGCTGACAGTTTACTACAGCCATATGTGAAAGTGAAAACTGCAAAATCAATACAGCTCATTTTTTTCACCCCAACATGAGCCAGTGGACCTCACTACAGCAGCAGAATCTCGGACTTCAGAACCCAAAGGACACTAGCTCCTCAGACGTGTCAAACCAAATCAGGGTCTGCCAGCGACCCCCTCGTGAGACTGGCTGCAGGTGTATTGACCCTATTCTCGGTCTGGAGGAATGATGTACAGCATGGACACAGAGTTGTCAGTCTTCATTTCTGCTGTACAGTGAAAACACGTCCAGAGAGTCGCCTTGATACTCGAGTGAAGGAAGTTGCCAGAACAGTTTAGTACTGACTGATGCTTATTTAACTGAGGAGTAGTATTAAATGAGCAACAACATGGAACATTTATGATTAGATGGGTAGCTGACGTGACATGTTGTGCAGTGACAGAAGTGCCCTGCAGTTTTTCAAACAGCATTTTTCGAATATTTGTAAATGAATGCCATTTTGTGGAATTATTCATAGAGAGACTATATGGAATATATGTATATATATATATATATATATTAAAGTGCAAAGGCTAAAAGGAGTTTAAAATAGTGGAAATTCTTTAAAAAAAATAATAATAAACTTTAATTATCGGATTACACTTTCCTGTATACATACACAGTGGGGTCCAAAACTCTGATTTGTGGAGTTCATGCAGCTTGATAAATAAATAAATACACACACACATGCATACATACATAAATGTTTTATACTTTATTATGCTTGCGGATGCAATATTTTGATAAACTCCTAGTGGTTCAAAAAAACTGATACTAAACGGGTTGTAGGTTCAAATCCCAAGTATCATGTGTTGCTTCATAAACCATGAGATTCAAGACACTTGGGTTGCTCCAGGAGGATTGCCCCTGTAAGTCACTTTGTATTAAAGCGTCACATAAACGGCTTGGTAAGAAGAAGCCAACCTACTCACCTGTCCACACTGATCACGCACAGCGTCATGATGGATGCAGTGCAGCACATCACATCCATGCCGATGAAGATGTTACAGAAGACCTCTCCAAAAAGCCACTTTCCTCCCGTGAGGTCCGTCACGATCACGAATGGCATCACCACAATAGCCACGGAGAGATCCGCCACGGCCAGAGACACCAGCAGATAGTTGGACGGCTGTCTGAGCTTCTTAACGACGCACACCGCGATCACCACCAGCATATTTCCAATCACCGTCACGGTGGTGATGATGGCCAGCATCATTCCGATGACAATCTTCTCTGCTGTGGTGAAATCGAGCAACTGTTCCCCGCAGGATTTGTTCCACATGGCCACTGAGATGTTGTAGAATAAGTGTGAGGAACCATTGAGAACTTCCGACGCGACCTCAGAGTGAGTGAACGAGAAGAAATCTAGCGAGCCCGATGAGTTGAACATCATCCCTGCGCCTGATGATGAAGAGCT